ATATATATATAGTGCTATGTAAAAATAGACAACGTGCTGAAGTGAAAGATGTAAATAACTCATAAAATTTCTTAAGAAATTAAGGATTTCTTGTCACAAACAACAACAATGTCTCAAGGCTAACATGTGACATTACTCTGTGATCCATTTAAAAACAGTTAATATACTGTATATTATGTCCCTGATTCCCTGATTGAACTGATTCTTGTTGCAGAATCCAGGTTTTCCATTGTCTGAAGCATGAGGGCACTGGAGGAAGGACGTTGCTCGTGGACGGGTTCTATGCCGCCGAGAAGCTGCGCCAGCGCTCACCTGAAGACTTCGAGCTGCTCGCCCGAGTGCCCATCAGCCACGAGTACATTGAAAACACAGAGGGTCACCGAAACCACATGAAGGGCATCGGCCCCGTGCTCAGTATCTACCCCTGGAACAATGAACTCTACTTGATGCGGTGTGAAAAATGAGATTTTACTGCCGTTTTTTTTTATAACGTCTTCCACTGACCTTCCTGTGTGAACTGTTTCACAACTCTTAGTGAGTGATGATATTGTTTTTAAACCCTGCAGATACAACAACTATGATCGATCAGTAATAAACTCTATCCCCCACGGTACTGTCCGGCGCTGGTATGAAGCGCATCGAGAGCTGACCGCAGAACTACGGCGTCCGGAGAACGAGCTCTGGATCAAACTGAGTCCGGGCAGGGTGAGAATTTAAAAAGAAATCTTCACATTCAAACACATCCTGAAAACAGAAAAAATGACGATGATTTACCTTTTATTTACCGCTCTCTTTTTAGTAAACATTTCACCCTCTCTTTTCTCCTCAAGGTGATTTTTATAGACAACTGGAGGGTCCTGCATGGGAGGGAGTCTTTCACTGGCCTGAGGCAGATGTGTGGATGTTATCTGACCAGAGATGACATCCTCAGCGCCGCGCGTTGCTTCGATCTGCAGGCGTAAACACGGAGGTCCTTTTCATCACCACGCCTTATCAGTCAGCCTTTAATACAGCTAGTTACATTTTCTCTGAGCTTTCCTCACTCCTGGAACATGCTGTCTTATACTCATCTGACTTTTATCATTGGAATTTATTATTATTATTAGTAGTATTTGTTGTTGTTCATTTTTAGGAATTTTTCTACAATTTTTAAAGTGCAGATATTTGATTAAAAACTACTGAAATAATTAAACATAAATCCTCAAAAGACTTGTGTTGTTGAGCTCTCAGAACTGCACGTGTTGGAATGGAAAGACTCAAAAAGCAGTAAAACGACTGAACGGAGCTGAGCTGACGGGTTGTGCAACAGGCTTAGGGTTCGGCCCTACTGTATGTGGGTCGTTGTACAAATACAACGAGCTTCTAAGCAAACATGCAAGTCACACAGCTCTGAACATCCAATACATTTTTATGTTAGGATATGGACAGTACTTATAATAGCGCCACACTCAAAGCGCTTCACACTACAGACATTCACTCATGCACACACATTCACACACTGATGATGGCAAACTACAAYATAGRATATGTTACTTTTAATTCAGCATAGWTTTAAATAAAAAGAGTACATTAAAWACAGTAAATAAATAGTATRAATAAAATAAAACCTGAGTATGATCTTGTTAATTTAATCTGAAAACCCACAACATGCTGTTGCTATTAAACATCATCCAGAGTGGGGGTGGGGTAGTATTACAGGCTCAGCCTTTTCCTGCTGGRCATATAAGGGGCAAGAGAGAGCAATGTAGGATGGTTCTGAAAGGCTGGGCGGAGGGAAGAGGATTTGTTTCCGCAGGGTTTGTGTTGTTGCTTTTAGAGAGGGTTCAGGCCAGTTGTCGATACGCTGTATCTGTTTTCTTTTTGCCTAAGAAAGAGGAATAAAGGTCTGGAAGCAATCATCTGCCTACTTCTTGCCTTTCACTCAGCGGAGCAGAACTGAGCTTCTTACCAGTCCACAAGTCGAGATAGACACCAGCCTGTTCTGGAAAGAGCACGGTAACACCAGTGTTGCATAAAGTCCCACAAAGTGATACTTGAGTAAAAGTACAAGTATCTTACCAAAAAATTACTTTGGTAAAAGTTAAAGTCTTCTTTAGGAATTTTACTTGAATAAAACTCTTAAAGTATCTGATATTTTTTATACTTAAGTATTTAAAGTAAAAGTATTGATTTAAAATGAG